ACTGAAATCGACGGTTCGGTTTAATTTTTTAAAATATCCTTTTAATGAATTGGGCCAGTCTAGAACCGACAGTTCACCAAACCAGCTCGTATATATTTCCGAGCCGGTTTAGGCCTTCAAATCTGCGGCTCGAAACTGCCATTTGGCCATGTCTAGGTCTGACTAATACCAATCTTATTAATAAATAAGAGAGAGAGAGAGAGTATTTCAATAACAATTTCAAATTAGAGACAAGAACCTCATGAATCAAAATTACTTGAAATAAGATGAAAGAAAATTGGACAAAGGATTAGATTTTGTAGGGCTGTGAGGTGATCAAAGGGACCTATCAGCATGGCAACAAACTCACATAATGTCTCCTCCAAGTAACAAAAGTCAATGAGATGTCAACCATCGAATATAGAAGAAAACAAACGGCACCACAACATGCAGGGAAATGGACTAGCTACAAAATTGAAATTCAAACTCAAATACTTGTATGCATATAAATTGTCTTTCATATTCTGGCCACATGAGATTAAACATTAATTTAAATTCCAAAACGACACTAAATAAAGAGGATATCAAGGCAGAAGTTGCTAAACGACGAATATTTTCTCCAATTTTTAGGCCAAATAAGATTAAAAATTAGTTTACATTCAAAAACCTTACGAATTTACGATGACAACGAGTCCTATCAGAGAGAAATTTTGCGAAATGCACGTTACATAAGACGGTTTTCTTGCCCTAGGAGCCACCGGACATGGTGGGACTTCATGTCTAAACCACCACAACTAACCGAGAGAAAGCGGTGATGGGCACCAATCACTTTCTTGTCCATTTCCCCCCACATTACACATGTTCCCTTAAACCCTCATGAGTCATGTCAAGTTATGATCAATCCCAATCAAAGATGGTGATTTTTCAGTTTGATATGCATGTTTTCACATTAAATTAGGTTAGGTGAGACTCAATATTTGACAAAATACATGCACATAAACAACTATTTAAAAAAACAATAGAAAAGAAAAGAAGCTTATGTGAATGGAGGAATTATCTATTTATATATATGGTTGGAACAAACATATATGTTAGAATATATTCGTGCACCAAATTGACAACCTTGCATGTGTTTGTTATTTTGGTAGATTGTTGCTTTGTTTGCTCTTTTACACCCTTTTTCTCGGTGAAGACAAATTAGTCGGTAGATTTATCTGGCGAGTTTTATCCTAAATCATAAATATTGTTCTCACGAGGATTTTAAACGTTCGACTATATCTAATCATACATGAGTACGTGTATATGTATATATGTAATCAGACGGTTAAAACACCCGTGAGGTCAGTACCACATAACTGACCTCAAATCTATGCATTTGTACCACACAACCACCTAAAAAATTTAAAACCTATTTTTGGCATGATTTTTGCTAGTTTGTTGGCTTGGACCATTTGTACTTCGTAGTAGATATATAATGAGTAGTGGTGGTACCATAATAATGGAGTACGGTACTTCGAGATTTCCATAATATTTGCTTAATAATATGAATATTTTATTAAATTGGTTGGGAGTATTTTAATTTGTAGAGTGTAGATAAGCATAATATTAATTAGCTCGATTAGTTGGGGGCATTTATGTAGGGTTAAGTATTATAGAGTAGAGGCAGGCCTTATCTACATTATTTCTGCATTTTATATTAATTAGGTAAAATAAATTATAAGCGCTTAAGCTATTTTTTGTCACTTTTTTCTCTATTATACATATATTTCATTAGTTTTTGCTCTATATTTAATTTCTATGTGTACGTCGTTTATATACACAGCTTGTTTGATAAGAACTATATTTGGGATATTCTTTTATATATCATTCATGTATACAAGCTGTTGCAAATTTGTCCACATGCATCAAAAATCTTAATTATTCTAAATTTTTGCATCTGTATATACGACCAAGGATTTGTTTGGTAAAATAGATTTTTGGGACTAAATTTTGAGGTCAATTAGAAATTTGGAATTTGATCAGAATTTCTAATTTAATTATTTGGTAAGTAATTAACAATTCAAAGTAGTTGAAAAGGCATCATATATAATAATTTATTTCAATAGAAGATTGTAAAATTAATTTTTTGTATATCAAATAGCGTTATATATTACCAAACATTTTAAATAATCAGATAATTCAATAAATTAATCAAAATTGCTAATTAAATCAATTATCCGCTATTAATTAATTCAAATATATATATCGGTTATATCCCGATTCAAATAATCGCTTGTTCAACCGTGCATCATTAAAAAAAGTATAATAATATTAAATAATAATAATAATAATGAGAATAATAATAATAATAATAATAATAATAATAATAATAATAATAATAATAATAATAATAATAATAATTTCCGCCATAATTAACCAATGACATCGACATCATCACGAGAAATCAAGAATACTAAATTCAAATTTGAATGGCTCTGTGATTTTTTTTTCTTTTTTCATTTACTACCTTTACCTGACGGCCAATGAATGTTATTTTAAAAACAATCGTGTGATGGTGATTATAAAGATTCTGGCAACTAGCTAGATGGTGTCTTTCCATTTCTTATTTAAATTGCATGTACAGTAATAAAATAAATCATATTATAAACTTATTATTAATTAATTCTTGTGAGATTCACACCACCCCATGTGCTGTATAAATGTTCTAATAATTAAAAATTGATCCATAAATTAATTCCCTAGTCTAGTAGGAATAATGAGTCGTTAAAGCCTAACTATCCAAAGCTGGTTTCTGAAAAGAAGGATCACGGCCCATTAAGCATTCTTTTATTCTCACGCAAAGATAAAAGATTTTTATAATAATTATTTTGTTATTATAGTTAAAAAAAAGTAATCATAGATTAAATAATCTTTTGTCGAAAGGAATGCACCAAAGCATCGTTGATGTGATTGTAAAGTGAAATTAAAAAAAAAAAAAAAAGATGGTGCTTTTTACCATATATTATTGTACACGCTCCCGGAAAATACATGATAAACATAGAATTGTGTCCAATGATGGTGATCTTATATAAAATGGGATGAAATTATTTGTGACAGAAACTGGGAAAAAACATGGTGCAGTAAGTTCATATGAAACTCAACTGAGGTTCTATCCCAAAATCATGAAAAGCCCATTAGTCATATGAAACAAAGATATATAGTCTCACGCTAAAATGACATGTTGGTAGAATACAATATTAAAAAAATACGATATTTCATATTATAAATATGCATTTTGTACAAAAAAAAAAAATGAATTTCTAGCAGTTACATAGTTTGACAAAAATATTTGTATAAGCTATCAAACTCAGAATCATTTGAGATTAGTTGATTTATGAGTTATGACGTTGGGCAAATAACTTCAAGGGCATAATTAGAACCATAGTTCAAAATCCATATTCCTATATAAGCTTCAAATAGCTCCATAGCTATAGCCATTCATTATCATCATGATCATGTAAAAACTATTTTGAAGTTATACTGCAAAGCCCTAGCAATGTTTTCTAATTAATTATAAATAAAATTCACTAAAATAAAATTGAACACTTTGAAGTTTATTTTCCTCGTGTCTTGTAGCAGCAGGCCCTCCTATTGTGAAAGTGTTGAATCGCATTAATACTTATGGACGTCAAAAGATCCAAGAAATTGGATTTAATTCATTATAATGGAAACAAATAGGTTGAGCTATGATATAAAGGTTGAGAATAGAGTTTCAAGAAGGAAAGGAAAAGTGGGAATCTAAATAAAATGGACGGTAGAGATTTTGAGTGTGACTATATGGGTAGGTCCCAAGATGCATGCGTGCGTGATTGATATGAAATAAAGGTCGGTTTTATTAGGTCTCTAGATTAGGGCTTATAGAATGTATTTTCTGTATCTTACCTATTTTTTTTTCTAAGAAAAAAAAACGGAAAAAAAAAGTAGAAATAAAATAAACGGTGGTATTACATTAAAATACCCAATGGCTAACTATACAATCATACTCTTTCAATAATTAGATATAGTTACATGTTTCAATATTATATTTTAAATAAACTATAAATAAAATCATATTTTTTGTTATATATAATAATCAAATATTTTTTTACAAGAAAATATAGTTGTCTAAATGAGTAAACGTTAGTGAGGTGTTATCATTTGTGTAGAATAAAACAAAAAGGTGACCTAACCCGTGCAACTGCACGAGATGTGAAAGGCTAAAAGCCATATGAATGGTCCAAAATTTGAGGTGGTTCGTTGCTTTCTGTTTTGAGTTAATTAGATGGGACAAATTCAGTTTATGATGAAAAGTTTTAGCTACTTATTGCTCTCATTGTGTATGTTGTAATTGTTTCACACACTTGCCCGAAAAGGCTTGGATACCTTTCTGCAATTCCTAAATATCAATTTTTTCTTTCGGTTTAAGATTATGTAAAGCTAATTAGGCAGGACGTGTTGAGATGAAATCGACAACTTAGAATATTTTTGTGAAAAAGAAATTATGTGGCTTGTGAAAAGCAACAATCCACTAAAAACAAGCATAGTCTTGAAATATTCTAAACTTAACAAAGACAACAAGCAAATTTATGGCAAAACAATGAGCACCGTTTCGACACCTTAGCAAACACCAACATGAATGATATATTCTAATATATTTAGAACTTTTGGAAATGAATAAATACATTGCTCATGTTCCAGAAATATTTGAACTTTTAAACTCACCGCACTTGAAATCGTCAACGGATTTTAATCCACCACCAATAGTCATAATATATCTCAAACTATCTGCTGCTTAATCTACAATATAATGATTTATTCCTCCCAAAATCCATGCCTGAAAATGCACTTAAATAATAAACACATTTGTGTATCAACAAAAATTAAGAATGGTCAGTCTTGCGCAATGTACACACATCATCTAAGAGCATTAATAATCACAGTTCGCAATCTAAAATCGGTTTTCAGAGTTCAATTCAGGCTGAACCAATCATCCATTACAACAGGCTTAATGTTTTATTAGTTATAACAAAGTCCATAGGACCTACAAGTATTTGCAAACCGACCACAGCAAAATTTCTTACTCAAAAATTCAAGGAACAAAAATCCCCATCAATATTTTATATTTAGTCATTAGATAAATAAAAGTGTTTCAAGAGTCAGTATTATTACATCAACTTCAAACATGACAACCCAAATGTGGCTAATAAACACAACATTGAACACATATAGATACCCTCAGGAAATCATACATTAAAAGGTAGTAAAATAGAGACAACGGCATAATATGCTTTTAACCTACATAACACAGCTCGAAATTCGTCTGCTACATACTCCGATAGCATGATCACTTTTTCAATACCTTGACCGTCTGGTTCCCCTGCAACTGACAAATTATTTAGGTACAATAATGGAGATACCTATGAGATACTTGACTTTATAACTTACCTTGGAGAACGCGAACGAGAATTTGAATACGATCTAGAAGGAGACCGAGACCTTCTGGAAGAACGAGAGCGTGATCTCGATCGTGAGTTATATCTTCTTGAACTCCTGCCCCTGCTTCGACTTCGGCTGCGCCTGTATCTTCTAAAACAGACAGAACATAGCCCATTCTGAATTATTTGACCAAACCAGCATATATTATTCATACCAACATCACAGTATCATTACTACAGGTATAAATTAACATTGGTGAAAGAGAAAATTGAGATGTGAGCAGATATTGCAAGTTCAATGCAAGCAGAAATGCGAAAGCCATCATTGCAAGAATCAATTGTATGAAAATGTGAAACAAAGACAATGACTCAATGACAAAATCATACCACCAACTCCAGTACCTAAACTCCAGAAATGAATGTAGTGCTTTTTAAACAGAAACAATATGTAACTAAACTCTGTTCGAATATCAAATAATATACTATAAGCTGCAAGAAACAACTGTTGCAAATTCTTTTCATACCTGGGAGAGCGGCTGTCACTTCTACTTCGGCTTCTATATCGGCTTATCCGGCTCGTTTCTGCAAGTTTTTCGAGCCTTTTGCGTTCTTGTTCTCGTTTCTTAGCCATTTCAACTGCCGTGTCCTTTTTAACTGCATAAATAGTGACACGGGACATTCTAATTCAGTAATCCATGCAGCAGAACAACTCCACAGAGCATTTGAGGGGGGAGGTTCTTGTAAACTCTTTTTTTTTTTTTACAAACAAATTACAGCCCACTTAAGAGATTCACAGCTTCACTTCAAGAACTTCAAGAAAAAGAAAAGTTATACTTTGTTTGTTTAGTTGCTTGTCCATGATCCGCTTTAGTCGTTCTTGAGGCGTTTCCTTCTTCTCCCCCTGTTGCTTGGACAGATTTCCACCGCTAGTTGCTTTGCTCAACTTTGCTAGTGCAGATGATGTGCTGTCAAAAGAACTCATGAGTCAAAAACCCATCAGGGGAAAATAACAATAAAATATATCACAAGCACTTTCATTACTTTGGCGTGGTTTTTGGCAGCTTGGTGTTTCTATCATTGTCAAGAGACACACCAGAGGCGGGGTCCACATGGAGAGCCTCAAGTATGTGACCAGACGGCCTGCATGAAAGTAGAAGCATTAGATACCTCTTTTTTAATCTGACTGGGACTGAAGCTCTCACATGATGTACAATCAGGACAACAAAAAGAGCTTCAAAAGAACTCTCCCGTCCTCTTATCCACCTCCAAAATTATTTGTAACCTAGCAGTCTATCCTTTTTATTTTTAACATAAAGTGGTGGCTTAAGCTTGCAGCACAGTTAAGACTTTTCCAATCTAGCTTTTGCAAGAATAAAAAGCTCATGTGCTCCGACCAGTTCAGTGCACCAATTTGAGATGGAGGAGATGATGGAGGAGAATAATGTCCTTCAAGCTTCAGCTCATTTCCGTCTCCAGAGCACCCGAATTCAGTAATATACTCTATTTTGGGTGCAGTTTCTTTGCCTCGACGATTATCATCACGTGAATAGCGTCTAGATTGTGAGGGAGAGTAAGATCGAGACCTCGACCTTGATCTAACCAAGCAAAAAAAAAAAAATTAAATAAAAAAAAAAAGAAAAAAAAAACATTTACCTCCTAGAGCGTGAGTAAGCCTCATAAGTAGGACTTCGCCTAGAGTCCCTGCAGACATAACAGAGAAGATTATAGAGATAAAGGTAACAGCTTTCCTTGTAATAAATCTAGAAGTGCATGTGTTTCTAGTACATAAACTAAATGTAATAAACATGTAGGAATTACCGATATGGATCACGTTGAGAAACCCTGGTTCCAGTAAACCGAGAACTTTCTCTTTCCCTCTCTCTTCCCATCTGAGAAGCTTTCCTTCTCTCTTTGCGACTCAGCTTCCTCTGAGATATCCCCAGTAGCAGGATTAGAGAAAATGCTGAATTGAGCAAAAATTAGAATAGACGTCTGACAAAACTTACAGTTGAAGGATCTCCTTTGATCATTTCTTTCTGCCTTCTTGCCTCCTCTTTAGCCTTTTTGTCCATATATACAAGCCATCCATATCTCTTCACCCCAAATTCTTTAGCAATTGACTCCATTGCTTCATCATTGCTGTCGTCACTATTGAAATCTTCTTCCTCGTCTTCATTCTCGTCGTCCTCTTCGTCGGCATCTGAATATTGAATATCTTCATGTCCATCTCCATCATATGAGAAACCAACTTGAGAATAAGACCCTTTATTTGGTGGAGGCTGAGACACATGGGGCCTATAGACATCGCAGTTGGTAATTGGTTAAAGGAAATAAATATTAGTTAAGAAAATTATCTAACAAAAAAAAGTAAAACTATATAGAAGGAGAAAGAAGTACAACTTTAGAAAAAATATAGGGAAAAATAAAAAACTAAAACAAGGATCATGAAAAATAAAATTCAAACAAATGGGTCAAATTAAAGAAGAGGAAATTAAATGTTCAAGAATCATCAACCATCCTGAAATCACATGCTTTGCAGCTAATTAATTTAAATGAGACAAATCCATGAGATTCATTCATTTGAAGATATTATTCAAACAAAAAATTATACCTGTCTGATCCAAATGCTGCAGTGATCTTAGCCTCCATCTCTAGGTTAACATGACGTAGACCCTCCTCGTCGTTAACTGCCACACATTTTGTTAGCATTTCAAAAGTAAAAAAAAAGGCATTAACTCTGTGAATGCCATTAAAGCATCCAGCTGCTGTGTAAGGAACACATTGCTACCACAGTTGACAACAGTAAAGCAAATATATGATTTTATATAAAACCAAAAAGTACCGACATCCTCTACGCCGATGCTTAATTAAATCCCGGTAACGCTCAAAATTAACAAATTCTTCTAACTCTTCCTCTTCCTCAGTTTTTTCTACGGGCCGAAAACGCCAGGTACTACTATCGCGGATAAAATCAAGAAGAGCTCGGCCGTCAAATCTGCAAGGACATTAAGCAATCAGAATATTGACAGATTTGTCATACAAAAAAGGAGCTATTTTCACTGTTCTTTGAACACGGGCAATTACCTGTCAATCAAAATATCCTGCTTTCCGTTCCAAGGTATCCTGATTACATCAAAGAAAAGTTAGCTCTATCGTTATAGGAAAATACTTGCATTGAATCTTAAGAAGCATGTGATGATCATAGTATAAATTTTGTAAAGAGACTATAACCATTGACGAGTCCTTGCTATAGACAAGCGATCGACATTTAAAAGACGAAAAACAAACTAGTCTACTTTTGGGAAATAACACATCAACGGTATATCCAGCAAATCCTTGCCACCACCAAGTACATTTTCACCGACAACATTGTAAAAAAAAAACTCTCAGCTAACAATGAGCTGAACAACTCTCTGAAGGTTGTCAAGCCCAAGCCACAAATAATAATAGTAACAATCTGATGGACTAGTAAATAGCAAAAGGTGGATTCAATTTTTACATGTATCCAACAAATTAAGGATGGGCAAAACAGAAAATCAGAATTGAATTNAAAAATGAGATGTAAATCGTACAGGCCCTGTTGATCTTCAGTGGCCTGGAAGAGTGCATCATCGCGGTGGATGCGGCAGCGAGATCCGACTGCCTGAATCGACTGCTGCGGGTCACCGCGCCGCTTGGCCAGGTACACGGCGCGCCGCTGGGCCCGCTTCCGAGCCGCATCCATCATGTCGTGAACCTTCCTCTCCGACCTCCGCGCTTCGTGCCACATGCTCCCGATAGATTCAATTCTCACCCGATTCGAGTTTCCAGGTAAGGTTTTTTCTTCTTTTTCTGTTCTTGCCGATGATGACAATTAAAAACCTAGGGCATGGAAATCACAATGAAAATTGGAATCTCAGTCTCACGAAGGGTCGATTAGCGACTTATTAGCTTTCTAATGCGATTTTCGCGAAGTCAGACTTTCGTCCATAAAAGTGTCGGAAATTGTTTTATGCCTAAAAAGTTGGATATTGAGATCATTTGAGAAAAATATTATTCTCGCCTAAAAATATTATTTTAGAGAATTAATAAACAATTGAAATTATAAGAAATACTAAATAAAAATCTCTCTGATGGGTCTACTTCTAGATCTAGAGTAAACCAATTGTTGTGAGCTCCGATCTGTTTGAACCGCCTTCAAGTCGTTGTTAGACCGCCGCAAACACCTGCAAGAACCCAATGTCGGGAGAGGTCCCGACGTCGGGCCTCCGACGCTCAAGTCAGTAAACAGAGGAGAGGAAGATGAAGCTCTGTAATGTAGAGCTGTAATACATGTAGAATTGTGTAGAATGTGGGGGAGAGAGCTGCTCTCAGAGAGCAGCAGCAGCAGAGAGATGGAAAGTGTATAGAATGAGTAGAGGTTTGGGTTTAGGGTTACCTCAGCCCTTTTATATAGAGGGAACTACCTGCTTGAAGTACCCAAAATGCCCCGGTCGGTTTACCTGAAGTGTCCAAAATACCCTGGACGGTTCGCATTCCATCCACCTCCTAGTCAGCTCAAGATTCTTTATAATCTAATTACTGCCTCTAGATCATGCTCTTGTAGTCACAGAGATGTCTAGTAGCAGAGACCTCTAGTCACGGAGACGTCTAGTAGAGAAGACGTCTAGTAGCGCAGAGGTCTAGTAGCGGAGACCTCTAGTCACGGAGACGTCTAGTAGAGAAGACGTCTAGTAGCGGAGGCCTCTAGTCACGGAGACGTCTAGTAGAGAAGACGTCTAGTAGCGGAGACCTCTAGTCACGGAGACGTCTAGTAGCGGAGAGGTCTAGTAGCGGAGACCTCTAGTCACGAAGCGGAGGTCTAGTAGTGGAGACCTCTAGTCACGGAGACATCTAGTAGAGAAGACGTCTAGTAGCGGAGAGGTCTAGTAGCGGAGACCTCTAATCACGGAGACGTCTAGTTGAGAAGACGTCTAGTAGCGGAGAGGTCTAGTAGCGGAGACCTCTAGTCATAGAGACGTCTAGTAGAGAAGACGTCTAGTAGCGGAGAGGTCTAGTAGTGGAGACCTCTAGTCACGGAGACGTCTAGTAGAGAAGACGTCTAGTAGCGGAGACCTCCATTCACAGAGATCTCTAGTAGGTCTAGTCACAGAGACCTCTAGTAGCAGATCTGAGCTTTAGCTCCTCTTGTCCAGTCGAGACGAGATGACCTCTTGCAAGTCTAGCAGGTCGAGATGACCTCTAGCAGGTCGAGATGACCTCTGGCAGGTCGAGACGAGTCTAGCAAGTCGAGATGACCTCTAGCAAGTCTAGCAGGTCGAGACGAGTCTAGCAAGTCGAGATGACCTCTGGCAAGTCTAGCAGGTCGAGATGACCTCTAGCAGGTCGAGATAACCTCTACTTATCTTCTTAGAGCAGCTCGACCTTCTCATACTCAGTCACAGAGAGCATGTCTACTTCTCATACTCAGTCACAGAGACCTTCAAGTCTCGTCTAGACCTCCTCAGGTCGCTCTTCTTCGGCTTCACTTGGACCTCTTCGTACTTGGCTCCGGTTCACAAGTATGGCTATATCACCCTCCTTAATATAATTTCAAAACGTGTTGAGCCTAAATGGTTGGCTCGTACGTTTCGGAAGCTTACTTGGCAACATTTCCTTAATATAATTTCAAAACATGTTGAGCCTGAATGGCTGGCTCGCACGCTTCTTAAGCTTATTTGGAAATAAATTATATTTATCTTTATAACAATAATAATTTCTTTTAATATTAATTAAAAATAAAATTATTTATCAATTAATATATTTATAAACAAAAGGTGGTATTTTCTATTTTTGGCACTTTTATACGACAACATGTGTTTTTTCTATTATTTTATGTTTTATATTTTTTTTTCAAACAACCCATGTAGTACACTGGTGTCGTACTAGTATAATAATTAAAAGTAATGAAATATAATTATAATAAAATATTAATTAATAGTTATTGATGAGGTAAAAAAATATTTTATTAATATATGCTTCAGAAAAAATAAATCATGCCAAGTTAATTTACCCCATGTTAAATTTATGTCAACTAGTAACTCGCGCGACGCACGGGCAATAAAGATTAATCGTGCATCTGGTTGCAGTTGAGATGAAAATGTGTTTTTCCTGGTTGATGTGCACTAGAGACAATGTCAATCTTTTATAATCAACCACAGATGCTCGTACTTGAATGGTTGATTATTTTTATTTTTTAGATTTGCATATATATTATATTCGCACGCTCTATCTACAATGTGAAAATAAATATGATTAGAAAATATTAATATCTATATAAATATAATTAAACAATGCGTGCAAATTTCTTACTTCATCATGTTCAATAGTTCCATTAATGTTCGCATTTCAATTTTGCTCCATACAAGATTTGAAAAGTTTAATAGCAGTATTGATATTTCTCATGCGACATTGGATCAATTTTTGTGGACGACCTGGCCCATAAGGTCAAGGTTCGAACCAAATATGCACTGAAAGACATCTTGGGTCGGCTTTTGGCTTCGGGGACAATGGTTAACTGGGCTCTCGAGCTTGGTGAATACAATGTGGATTTCGAGGTCAGGAGAGCTATTACGACTCTTGCTTTAGTTGATTATATACAAGAGTGCACGACGGATGTTGAGGTCAAAAAATAGATGGTCTACATCAATGGTTCTTCGGCAGTAGACGGAGTAGGGCTGGGCATGTTGGTCGTGACACCTGAATAGGATAACCTTGAATTTGTTGTCAAACTGTCATTTAAGGTACCAAACAATAAGGCCGAGTGTGAAGCTCTTATTAAGGGAATTCGGCTTGTCCTAGAGGAGGGAGCTCGCCAAGTAATCCTCCATTCAGATTCGCAACTTGTGGTCGAACATGTTAGAGGGGAGTACGAAGTAAAAGCAGACTGCAGAGGTATGTCGTCGAGGTCCAGTCGATGCTAAAAGGGTTCGCAACCTGGAAGTTAGTCCAGATACCACGTGGCGAAAATGGTCGAGTTGACTTTCTTTCTAAGATGGTTGTGTCTTTGGTGGACTGCCGATTCAGGTCGGTAAGATTGCTTGATATAACCACAAGTACCTTAGGCCATGTTGTAGAGGTTGAGAAACAAAAAGACTAGAGGTCATCCTTAGTCAGATGGCTGCAAAACTCGACCGTTTGAAAAGACATCAGAGGCGATCCCGCGGGTAGAAGAGCCATGAGGCTTGTTCTGCAAAATGAAGTATTGTACAAACAGACGTATGTTGGGCCACACCTACGATGCATTTCCAACCTTGAACAAGCTTTAGTAGCTCGTTAGAAAGTGGGCTAGATGATATAGCAGTCTAGAGTAGATCGTGTAGACCGTTAAAGTCTTAGCTCGGCATTGGTCGGTGGTGGGCCGGATACATGAAAATTAGCTCAAATATCAGGTGAGCTGCTGAGAGATCAACCTCAGGGCACTGGAGTTCGGCTCGCATGATCTATAGGCCCATTAAGTTGGCAGTGAGCATCAGTCCGACCTCGAGGGGTTTAAGGTCGTGACGTCGGGAGCATATAGCTTGGTTGTGGATAATTGTGGAGAGCTCATACCAGTTAGTGTTTAGTTTGATTGCTCAAGAACCTAGCTAATTTGGAGGTTGGGAGAACAAGAGAACGTGTAGCTCTGGTATCGGGAGGCCTCCGAGCATGGCTACAGAAGAGACCTCATCACTAGTAGGTCGAAAAATGTTGGACTCAGGTTGACGACCTTGACATACTTGGGACAGGTCGGCTCAGAGGCCAGGATTACGACCTCGAAACCTTAGGACGGTTGATATTCTCGAGTATCCTTAGGTCAAGTGGCAACCTCGGGACCCTTAGGTTTAATGACGACCTCTAGCTCCATTGAAAGAATAACTTCTGATGTAGCACAGCGTACGAACAGAAAATAAGAGAAGATATTTTTTCTCAAATACATAATTTTTTATTCAACCGCAACTCGTACACCAAAAGAGGATGAATCATTAAATAACACTCATCAAAGCCTTAGATTACTTACTTTTCCAACAAGACAATTGTTCTAATAAAGTAATAAAATAAATAAGTTACTTAATGAATCTGAAATACCATTAATAATAATTAAACAAAGAAAATAAAATAATTAACTAAATCAATGATGCTAGATGATATCTCGTCCCTATCATTCTCCCCCTCTCAAAAAGGATTCGTCCTTGAATCCGACACATTCTTGTCTCCCACCAACGAGACCACATCTTTGCTCGGCTATCGCGAGTGAAAGTACGCTAAGACAAAAAAGACTCCTATCCTCTAGTGGGCTTCACGCTCGTCTGTCGCAAAAGTTTGCTAGATGTCGCAACCCAACTGAACTAACTATGAGGCTCTGTGAAACTTGCCCAAGACCATCTATTATGTTCACCTTTCTTAGCCAAACCTTGTCCATCATAACCAAACTTTATGCCCCACATGATTTACCCCGACGTTCTTATCAAACCAGTTGTTTTAGAAACATTTTTTTTCTAATAAGAGGCATTGTGGGTGTCTTCATCCCGAGTGCTCCTTACACCCAGATTTGTCCAATCACTTTTGGAATTAGACGTTGCACCACAAGTGTCTTATTGAGGTTGTTTCGTCCATAACCGCCCATGATATGAAACCAAAGCTCCACAATGCAAAGGGTGCAAACTATCAAGGCCAGTAGAAGATGCATCTGAAATTCTGTGAGAGCCACCACACTCTGAATGTTCAACAATGTCCTGGACGCGGACGTGGGCAGCCACTTCGACAACCCCTTTAGTTTTGTCGTTTTTGTAGTCATAAAAAATAGGCGGACCCGAATATTCGGTTGTTTTCTCGTTATCAAAACAAAGTAGACCCTTATACTCAGTTGTCCATGCACGTCCGCAAAGGTCCCTGAAAATTTTGGGATCTCAACTCGGAACGATAACTACCAACACCGATCGTCGGTGAATCGGTCCTCATCCAGCATCACCATCACCCCGAAAAAAGGTACCTCAGAGACAGTGTCGTCATCGCTACCGTCTTCGACTCACTAAGGAGGCGACCGAGAGCATGGTGCACGCGTGCGCCCCTGCCGCGACCCCCGCGCATCCCACCGCACCCTCTGTCGTGGGCACGGTTCGACCGATCGCTCTGAACAATTTTATGAAGATCCAAACGTATGTCGTTCATCCAAGCAGAAAGGTGTGCAATCTCACTACCCATCGCCTCAAATGGTTGTTTGAATTCCTCGATTGGCAACTCAGAGCGTCCATGGCTGCGTCGCGCCTGTCGTCTACATCGTTGTTTCTTCGCGCCGACATCGTGGATCGTTGATGGTCTCTGGATACCAACTGATATAATGCAGCGTACGAACGAGAGATAAGAGAATATATTTTCTCAAATATGTAATTTTTTATTCAACTTCAATTCCTGGAACAAAAGAGGAGGAATCCTTATATAAGACTCATTAAAGCACTAAATAATAGATTGTCCAACAAGACAATAATTCTAATAAAGTAATAAAATAAATAAGTTTTTTAACAAATCTGGATTATCATTAATAATAACCAAAATAAAAGAAATAAATAATTAACTAAATCAATGATGCTAGACGATATCTCGACTCCAGCAACATCCTTGACGGAAGGATTGGGAGCTCGAGAGTCGTATCTGAAAGAAACTAGATCCCTTAAATATAAGAAGTGTGTATCAGTAAGGACACTAAAGATATGAGGAAGATTCATTTAGTTAAGATGAAAGATTTGTGAAGACTTCTTACCATACTAGGCGTCTTTTGGTCAAATACACAACCCTAATTATAAAAGGGTGTAAACATGTTTTTATTTTTACACAACACACAAACACGCGCAAATATACTACTACTGCATTATCTTTGAACACGGACTTACTTGAGCGTAGGAACTTTTTTCGCCGAGACTCCTCTCGGCGATTTGCAGGTCATCGGAGGCGACAAAGCGGTTCGGGTCGACGGATTATGGTTCAGACCTGATGGAAGGACAATTTGTGTAACAATACTTGTTTTTATAACTATATTTAGGTTTTATTAATAAAAAACTATCAAGAGTATGATTTTCGTTAGTTATCCCCCTATATATTAATTCAGAATGTGTTGAGCCTAAGTGACAGACTCGCATGTTTCATGATTCTATGTGGTGAAATTACATGGTTCGTCATTAGGCTTGGGTAGATTTTAATTTACTTTCAATCCAAAAATAATTAGGTTCGGATTATCCATAAATATGTTGATTATTTATGGTCATGTTACATGTATCAATTGCATTTTAATATCATTTCTTATTATAACCATTGAATTGTAAATATATTTTAAAAGTTATAACTTTTGTATTTTTTATCAATTTTACATATATAATATATCAAGTTAACCATCTCGTGATGAACTTCGATTTAACATCCATATTGTATGCATTAAAAAATATATATATATTTATCTTTATAACAATAATAAAATTATTTATCAATTAGTTAGAAAAATAAAATTATTTATCAATTAATATATTTATACTTCAAGTAGTTATATGATATAAGTTATAAAAAGTACTATAATATAATACATGTTACATGTAAGTAGCATAAGTAACAAGTGTCATTATAATATATATAATAATATATAATTTTTGTAAAAAAAAATAAAATCTAAAATAATTTTTCTCAACAATTTTAAAATTTAAGAATAATTTTTAAACAAACACCTGCGTAATACATTCTTGTTGTACTAGTATATTTTTAGTGACTAATAAGTAGAATTGAAATAAGATAACTCCCTATATGGATCAATTTATATAGTAGTATTAAAAAAGAGAAATGCTATATGTACATAACATTGTATATAAGAATGTACAAAACATTCACATTGAGTGAGACCGACCAAAAATAAAAAATCAACCTCACTTTATGTACAACTCTATGTACATTTATTATGTACTTGTAGCATTTTTATTAAAAACATAACAAATCGAGACATAACTTAAAAGATGAAGCATAAGGTAGCATTTTTATTAAAAAAAAATAACAAATCGAGATATAACTTAAAAGATGAAGTATAAGATTTCGGCCAAGAAAACCTTGGTATCTTAAGAGATTAAGTGCCTTATTCAATTAGTAGTTAGACGTGGTAGTCATTCAAATTGAGGTATCATAAATCATTGTGGAAATTCAAAATAAGAGATTTATATGCGTCATACTCCAACTTATGATTGCTAAAGTAGTTTAGCTAATAACCAATCAAGGAGAAGTTTGACCAACTACTAATTTTAATTAGTCGTGTTGGTCGAGAAAAAGAAAATACAATATCAATGCCGTGCTACAAACTACAAAAAGTATTCAAAACTACGACTTGTTAAAAGTGAAACAATAATGCATTTAGTTCATACACAAAATTATTCAAAAATATTTTTATAAAATTAAATTAAAAAAATAAAGATAGAGAAAGAAGGGACAGATCATCATCATTGGTTGGGACCACGCTTAATCACGGAGCGCGTGGGGCCCACTGACAACAAAGAAATGAAAGGAAAAACATGGCACAGTATATATACGAGAACCCAAAGGCCAATCAAAATCGTTGACTCAAGCGACGCTCCACCGCCCGAAAAAGGGCAATCGCTGCCGCGAGCCACCGAGCTCCGCCGCAGGGATAGGCCGCCGCCGATGTCTCCCCAGCCGAAGCACCCGCCGCCTCACGCGGCGGCACCCTTGCGCAAGCAGAGCTCGTGGTCCCCGGACTCCTACCGCGACGAGGCGTGGCTCCGGCAGAAGGCCGATCGCCGACGGCGGCGGAGCCGGAGCGTCACCGACGGGGATCTCGACGAGCTCAGGGCCTGCATAGAGCTCGGCTTCGGTTTCGACTCGCCGGAGATGGACCAGCGCCTGAACGACGCCTTCCCCGCCTACAGCCTCTACTACGCGGTCAACAAGCAGTACCACGACGCCGTTGCCAAGCCGCCGCCGTCTCCGTCCGCCGCCAGACCTGAGCACGACGCCGTGACTCCGATTGGGAGCCCCCACGCGTTTTTCGGCCCTGGTAGACTCTCCTTCTGCAACATTAAACAATTATTACAAATCTGTCGTAATTTATTTAGTAATCTATAATAATATAAATAATTGAGGAATGTCCACAATTATTTTTTCATATACAGAAAATAGTATACTATTTTCAAAAAACAAAAAATAAAAAATAAAAAATCCTCAACGCGTTTTGTATTCCGTAAATCGGTAAATATATTATATTTGTTTAAAATTAGTATTTAGATCCATGTGTTTGTTCCTTGGTTTTGACCGTGCTATAAATACTTCGTATTTTTTGTTTTTTGAGAATTTATGTTCATCATACAAAGGAGAATTGAAAGTAAAAGGAACTTCTCCAAAAGAAGAAACAAATTTTATTTTTTTTTCGTATTGTTTAAGAAAGAAGATAGCTCTCATATTGAACAAATGCTGATTTATTACATTATTGCTCAATATAATTATTCAATTGGAATTAATAATATTTTGTATAATTAATTTGGTGGTGTTTGTTTTGGTCTTTATTTAGGGGAAAATCCAGAGAGGGTGAAAACAAGGTTGCGACATTGGGCGCAAGTAGTTGCTTGTGCCGTGCGCCTATCTTCGACCTAATTCAGGTTTCCATTGTGTTTGATGGCAAAAATTCAAAAAAGGACCAGAAAAGGAAAATTGTGAGAAAAAAAGAAGAAGAAGGAAAATGAAAATTCATAATTAAATGAATTGATTTTAGTACTCAATTTAAATACCAACAAACTTTTGTATAATTGCAATTTGCATTGGTTAGATATTTACGATCCCCACCGGCCCACATCAACTATTTCTATGATGGCTCGTCATGTTTGGTCACCTGCATTTACACTAATAATAACAATAATATTAATAATAACCAAATACTACACAATAATTATCATCGAATATGAAAACGACTTTGATATATAAGGGCATTTTATTGCTTTGTTTAACTTTTCTTATTTTTCTTGGTTTGTTTGTTTCTTTTTTGGCAATGGCTAATGATTGTGAAGCTCATATCTAAAATGTTTGCTTTGGCCATTTCCAAATTTCCCCTACNATAATTGGAATGTATTTAGGGAATTCTTATATATATATATGAAGAGAATATAATCACTAGATTCGATATTAGTTTCATCTTTATTTATTACTAGTATATGTAAAATAAATAAATGAAATTATATGTATACATACTTTATTAGTATACATAAAGGTTAATCATTTATTAAATATACTAAAAGTTATAAAAAGAATAATTATCTTTCTAATAAATAAATTTCATTTATCTAAGTTAATGAGATCTTTTTTCATAACATATTTAGAAAAGTTTTACGACATTAAAACCTCTGGATTACATACCAATATATTATATTTTGCAATATATTTTCACTACTCGTAAGTGTACGATGTAGCTATAGCAAGCAGCGAGCAAGATCGTATTCCATAGAGATTAATGTTAAAATAATCAATTATCAAAATATAGACGTTTAAATATTATTTAGACTAATGCACATTTGAATGGAGTTGTAAAATTAAATTAGCTATGAATAACGATAAAATAATTCTAACAACTAATGAAGGCTTTTACTAATTCTAGAATGAGAAACTAGATTATAGGCTAAGTTTTTCTCGGGATTATTCTACACAAGACTTTCAACATCCATCGATAACTATCAACTGACTCATCCTTCATAATTGCATGCAATAAAAAAAATTATTACCAGGAGTCATGCCAATATTTTGGAACAAAGGCATCTCGTACATGTTTGTCTTGTACGTGGAGTCCATGCCAATGACCCAAAGGTGTGCTCTAAGCGTCTTTTTCGACTCTAGATGGACCAAAAACACATGAGTTAACTTCTTTGTATCATGATCTCTAATCAATTGAATATCATATTTGTTGTCCTTAGCCAACTTTTAAAATGTTGTATCATACTCCATTTTCCAAATGAGGCCCTCCTGATTTTTGCCTTGTAGTTTTAGGTTTGTCTGATGTAACAGTTGTCCTCCGGAAATGATTGTTGAACAACTAATAATATGTTTTGCGGCTTTGTTTGAGAAAGAACCATCGACTGAATAAGTTTTTTTGCTTCAACACTAAGGTCACTCATTTGCCGATGTCTCTCTTCATATTTAGCAGGCTCATGATTGTATCTACCATCTTCACATTTCATAATCCAACTATGGAATTCCGACCTTGGAGTTACGTTTTTCAATATTACCGTGAACTCATAACTATAAACAATGGTCTTGTGTTCTTTCTCTATCTTGGATTTGGAGTTTCCCCATCTTCCAATTTCTTCTGTTGGCCGATTACATCAATGTATCACACTGGTGGTTAAATGCTTTGAAGTTATTTTCATCTCATACTTGAGTATATGGTAAAAAAGTACCAATAATGCAGAGCTTAACTATAAATCTCATATATTTGCCCATCTTCAAAATAATACGTAAAACCTTCAAAATTCATCATGTACATAGTTAAATTGCACAATTTTATTACCACATTTTACTAAAGTAACTATTAGTAATAATTATAAATCATATAGGTGATAAACAAAGAAAACTATAAAAATTCAGTTGCAGAAAAACAAAATTTTGGTGCAGACGCTTAAATTGCGTGTTAGCTTTACGTTTACACGTTTTATAAGTTTCCAAACTTTGAGTATTTACGTTCTTAGGTGTAGCCCCTTATAAACTGGATATTTGACTTAAATTCGAGCTTTCGAATAAGGCGTTTCCCTTTATAGTCTGGCTTTGTATCTGGACGTTGCATGGGTCATGTAGCTTGACATTAAAAAGTTTATTCCTAATGTAAGCTTGCAGATATTTAGGCCATATTCTAGCTTTTACTTGAGACGTTTACTGAACAAACTTAAACCCTAACCTACATCTGTTATCACTTTATTCAATCTACCATCCTAATCAATTCATCACATTGGTTTAATGCAACATATATGAAGAGGGTTTAATGATCTAATTGTCCTAAAATAACTCAAACAATCAAAAATCAAGAGACCCATTTGTGAAAATCAATGTAAATAAAAGAAAAATAGGGATTAACACATTATTTACCTCATTTGCAAGTGACCCGATGATGTTGGATTGCTAAACATATTGTGGATTAATAAAGAATAATGTGAAGATTGGTGGGTTAATTTTTTATGACGAGGAAGAAGCTTTTGGTGAAGATGTGGAGATTGGTGAAAGTGGGTGAAAGTGGAGTGGTAAAATTTTATTAGGAAAAAAACGTAATTTTATTTTTTATTTTTTTAATTTTTTTTACAACAAGTAGTAATTTGGGGCAACAAATAGCAATACCCTAAATAAAATCTATATATATATATATATATATATAAAGAGAATAACTATTTACCAAAAATAATAAGTAAAAAATTTCAGAAAAAATTAAATGCATACTAAATTAAGTAACTTGTTTTGAAAAAAGAAATTGAAAAATTCCGCCCAAATGTTTTTCTAAAAAAATTTAAATCCAATCAGTTAAATGAAAAAATCACACAGAGATTTTGTCGGTTACATTCAATCTCTAACTTCAATAATCCGTCAGTCACTCAATTAAAATTGGCCTCCATTAGCTTGAGAAAAAATCCCATATAATCTGTCAGTCACTTCATTAAATTTCGCGCTTGAGAAAAAATCCTATATCATGAAAGAACCTGAAACCCATTTCGTCCAAAATCCCTCTTCTCCTTCGGCGATCTTTCGCCTCTTAGCTTGAGAGAAAATCCTACATCATGGAAGAACCCGAAACCCCAATTCATCCAAATCTTCCCTTCCTCTCCACTGAGATCTCCGGCGGCGATCATCACGAGCTCTCCATCAGCTTCGAAGTCGGGCTTGGTTATGCAATAAGTGTAAATTGGCCGTATAAAAATGGCATTAGATAAAGATGAAAGGAGTAAATATCCAAGAAAGCCATTAAACACCGCCAAACTCGATGTGGACCGCGAGTATGGGCTGGGCCCTCCTCATAGGTATAACTATTACATTTATTTTTGGCATCTGTAATGTTGGGCCTTCATTATATCTAATGTAACCAAGTAAACTAATTCATGGGCTAATTCTGGAAATTTTATTTGGATGAAGATCTTGTGGTACTAACTAAGAATAACTAGGGACCGTATTAGTCAATGGCAAATCTATATATATATATATATATATATATATAATTACTAGCTTATTCATTTAATAAAACATTTAATAAAATTTATTTTTATTTTTTTCCAAAAATAATTACATTTTTTTAATTAATTACTCACTAATCTGTTAAAACCGTTACACCTTAATATATATATATTTTGGCTTAATTGCAAATAAAACCATGACCTTTTCGAAATTTGCAATTTAATGCACCACCTTTAAAATTGGCAAATTTATACACCACTTTTACAATTTTTTGCAATTGTATGCATCGGGCCAGAAATCGGGCTTCCATTGCTGACATGGGCTGGTGACGTGGCTGACATGTCAATATTTTGCTGACATAGCGGCTGACGTGGCGGCAAAAATTATAAGCATAAGCAAGGTTCGAACCTGTAACCTCTAGGTTAGATTGTGGCAATGAAACCACCACACTATTCCAAGTTATATGTTGGATTCAATAGCAATTAATATATATGGACACTAAGTACTAATAAACACAATTAAAATTTTAAAGATAATGTATCTTATATTAATAAGATATAAACTTATAATAATTTAAATATAATAAAATAAATTATATAATATTAAATGAAAAATAAATTATAATAAAGTAAGATAGATTATTATAGTATAGTGCATTTAAATTAAATTAAATTAAAATAAATTATTATATTTATTATTTATTAAAATTAAATTAATTATATAAATTTGGAAATAAAAATAATATATTATTTATTATATTATCATATATTTTATTATATAAGATAATATAAGATAATATAATATAATATAATATATTTTTTATAAAATAATATAAAATAAGATAATATATTATTTATTACATTATATTATTTTATAAAAAAATAATAATGATAAAATTAAATTAAAAAATAAAAAAGATTAAAGTACACAAGTTAAAATTAAGTAAAAATAATAAAATATAAGATAATAAATTATAAAACATGGAAAAATAAAATAAATATAAGATAATAAAATATTTATTTTATTATCATTTTATTTAATATAAGATTATAAAATATTTACTTAATTTTATTTTACTATTTTATATTATATTATCTTATAAGATAATAAATATACGATAATGATTATTTATTATACTATAATAATAATATTATAATGTATTATAATATATTATATTATTTTTATAATATAATAAATATAAGATAATATAATGTAATAAATAATATATTATCTTATTTTATATTATTTTATAAAAAATATATTATATTATATTATATTATCTTATATTATCTTATATAATAAAATATATGATAATATAATAAATAATATATTATTTTTATTTCCAAATTTATATAATTAATTTTATTTTAATAAATAATAAATATAATAATTTATTTTAATTTAATTTAATTTAAATGCACTGTACTATAATAATCTATCTTACTTTATTATAATTTATTTTTCATTTAATATTATATAATTTATTTTATTATATTTAAATTATTATAAGTTTATATCTTATTAATATAAGATACATTATCTTTAAAATTTTAATTGTGTTTATTAGTACTTAGTGTCCATATATATTAATTGCTATTGAATCCAACACATAACATGGAATGGTGTGGTGGTTTCATTGCCATAATGCAACCTAGAGGTCACAGGTTCGAACCTTGCCTCTGTTTATAATTTTTGCCGCCACGTCAGCCGCTACGTCAGCAATATATTGACATGTCAGCCACGTCACCAGCCATGTCAGCAAAATCGCCACGTCACCAGCCCATGTCAGCAAGGAAAGTCCGATTTTGGCCCGATGCATACAATTGCAAAAAATTGTAAAAGTGGTGTATAAATTTGTCAATTTTAAAGGTGGTGCATTAAATTGCAAATTTCGAAAAGGTCATGGTTTTATTTGCAATT